CGGTGGCGGGAGTCTGGGAGTTGGTGGAGTGCCTCGTGCAGCGGCTAGTGACTCACCTGTTGCAGCTGGCGGAGGTGCCGCTCAAGTTAGTCCGGCACCTGCTGGACTGCCAGCTGCGGGTGGTGGAGTGGCGGCTTAGTACCAGGCTCGGCGTCAGCAGCAGCAGCCAATCCTCTCGCAGCAGCCACAGCAACAGCATGGGCAGCAGCAGGTACCGAGGCAGGGGTCAGGCCAGCATCAGCTGTGACTGCCACCACCTACCGGATTAGTGTTTCGCTCAGCTCACTGACACACTTCGTGCGGCCTACGGCGTCGATGGCCCCGCCCCTGACTGGCTACCCCTTGTTCAGAAGTTCGGCCCCGCTCTGTGGGGCATGTCTGCTTCTCTGTAGGCTGATCACTTAGGAACTCCTCATGCTATGTATGATGTTGTTGACTCTAGTGCTTCTGACTCTGTTTACTCGCGTGTTTTTAGCTTAGGTGCTAGTGTTGCTGAGGTGTCTGTTGCTAGTGTAGGTACATGTCTAGACACTAGTCCAGTAGCTGCTCCGGAAAACACTTTGCTGTCCTTCACTCATGACTCTGGAGCTTCGCACTGCTTCTTCCGAGACCACACGATGCTTACTCCGCTTCCTGCACCGGTCTCTGTAGCACTGGCTGATCCCACTTCGGGACCAGTCACTGCTCGCTACACTACTACGCTTCCGTGCCCAGTTTTTCCGTCGGTCTTTCTGACGGGCTTTCACGTCCCCTCGTTCTCCAGGAACTTGGTGGGTGTGAGACCACTAGTTAGTAGTCACGTGGGTGTTTGGAGTGTCGTGTCGCCTCTGGCGACGTGTCTCTCGGCCAGATGTTTCACCGGCCAGTCTTTGGACCGAGTCCCATGGTGCTGCGTCGCGTTTTCGTGTCTGGGGCTGCTTGGCACTTGTCCGCGACACCTCGGCCGACAAGATCTCGCCTCGCGCCGTTCCCTGTGTCTTCCTTGGTTTTCCAGAGGACTCCTCTGACTTCACCTTTTACCACCCTCCCCTTCACCACTTCTTTGACTCTCGTGACGTCCGTTTCGACGAGTCTGTCCCCTACTACGTCAGGTACCCCTGTCGAGGTCTCCCGGTTCCTCCTCCCCCTCTCTTCCTGACTTCCGCTCCCCCTCCTGCTCCCCCGGTACAGCCTCCCCCCCCTGGTCCAGCCCCGTCAGGTGTGTCCCAGGCTACCCCTCCCCCTTCGGTAGCCCCTCAGGTGCGGCCTTGTTCCCCGAAGTCCTCCTCACAGCCTACTACAGACCCTGCGGGAGCCGGTGTTTGTGACGAGGGCCTTGGCGGTGCTAGCTCTAGCGGTGTTGGAGTTGGAGCAGAGAGCGTACCGGTGTTAGGTCCTGGTTCTGGGGGTGCTAGAGCTGGAGCTGAGTCCGTGCCTGCAGGCGACTCTAGTCTTCAGGGACCTGGTGTTAGTCGAGCTGTCCCTGGGGGTGCTACGACTGGGGGTGCGCCCTTTGCTAGACCTGGAGAGCCTGGGACTGACCCTGTTACTTCTGGTGGTGCTGGCTCTGGGGGTGGTGCGGCTGGTGCCTTGGAGGGTAGTCCCGGGGCTACCCGTGCCCCGAATACTACTCCGCGCCCGCACCCCTACCCGACCCGGCACCAGGCCCGTCTTCGCCGTGCACGTGAGGAGCAGCTGGAGTTGGAGAGAGAGAGCCTAGAGTTGGAGCAGCAGCTGCTGGAGCTACGGCACCTTGAGGAGCAGCAGCAGCAATAGCAGCCACCGCTGGAGGGAGCAGCAGCAGCCGCCACCTCCTCCTCCTGTCTCTGGTCTTCGGACCCTCGGTCTCCCCTCTCCCTCTCCTCCCTCCTCCCCCTCTCCTCCCGTCCCTGGTCCTTTGCTTCCTGCTCCTGACCCCTCCCTAGCTGTATTCCCTTGTTCTCAGCCTCCGTTGTCCCCTCCTCTTTCTCACACTTGGCCTTCTCGTCGCTCTCCTCGTGCTCGTCCCTCGTCGCCTGTTCCTGTCACCGACCTTCGTACTGCCCTGTTTCGTTCTAGTCTGCCTCGTTCGTCTACTTCAGTACTTCCTTCTCCTCCTGAGTCAGCCCTCACTGCTTCCCTCTCTACTCCTGTCACAGACTACTACCGCACGTACCGTCCTGTTCTCTCTCGTGTTCTCGCCTCTCTTGTTACCGACCCTCGTGCCTCTCTGTCCTCTGTCTCCGCTCTTACTGCCGCAGTCACTGAGTTTGCCTCTACTCGCCGCCTTGACTACGCCACCAGTCTTGTGGCTGCTCCTCCTACCAGTCCTCTGGCCGTCGGGGGTGTGTCTGCCCTTGGCTGTGACGCCCTAGAGGACAGGCAGTTTGAGCTAGAGTTCCTGGCAGTCGCTTCCTCTCATCTCTGTGCCATGGTGTTCGCCCATGAGGGAGACCCCGACGCCCTTGACATACCGACTCCTCGCACTTACGCTGAGGCAGTGTCAGGACCTTGGGCCTCTCAGTGGAGAGCTGCCATGGACGCAGAGATGGCCTCCTACAGATCCACAGGCACCTACATCGAGAAGGTTCCCCCCCCTTGGGCGAACGTAGTCGATGGCATGTGGATCTTCAGGGTGAAGCGGCCATCGGGATCTCCTCCGGTCTTCAAGGCGCGCTACGTGGCTAGAGGTTTCAGTCAGCGCGAGGGAGTCGACTTCTTTCAGACCTTCGCGCCTACCCCAAAGATGACTACTCTTCGGGTGTTACTGCACGTAGCAGCACAGAGAGACTACGAGTTACACTCTCTCAACTTCTCCACTGCCTTCCTTCAAGGTAGCCTACACGAGGAGGTCTGGTTACGTCGTCCCTCTGCCTTCACTGGCACTTTCCCTCCTGGGACCCAGTGGAGGCTGAGGCGACCGGTCTACGGTCTCCGTCAGGCTCCTCGTAAGTGGCACGACACCCTTCGTTCTACCCTGTCTGACCTCGGTTTCCAGCCTTCTTCTGCTGACCCGTCAATGTTCGTTCGTCGTGGCTCCACACCGTTCTTTGTGCTGGTCTACGTTGACGACCTGGTTTTCGCCACTGCTGACAGGGTTGCTTTGGCAGACGTGAAGTCCGAACTGTAGAAGAGACACACGTGCACTGACCTTGGTGAGCTGCGCCACTACCTTGGCCTGCAGATCACCAAGGACAGAGCTGCTCGCACCATTACACTCTCACAGTCATACATGGCGCAGCAGGCCCTTCAGCGGTTTGAGCTTCAGCACTCCAAAGTACAGCACACACCTCTTGCTGTTGACCACAGACTCACTGGACCCTTTCCTGATTGGCCGTTTGAGCCTAGTGGTCCTTACGCAGAGCTGGTGGGCTGCCTCATGTACCTGATGACTTGTACTCGCCCGGACCTCGCCTTCCCTCTCAGCATCCTTGCTCGCTTTGTTGCGCCAGGGAGACACCGTCCTGTTCACTGGACAGCAGCTGTGAGGGTGGCGAAGTACCTAGCGATGACATCATGCGTGGGGCAAGTTCTTGGAGGGCAGCAGCCTATTGTACTTATTGGTCACTGTGACTCTTCTTACGCTGACGACGCTGAGACTTACAGGTCTACTCAGGGGTACTGCTTCAGCCTGGGTTCTGGAGCTGTTTCGAGGAGGTCTACGTTTTCCTCCTCGGTCTCGACCTCTACCGCTGAGACGGAGATCTACGCTGGTGCCATGGCGGCATAGGAGCTGCGTTGGTTGACCTTCTTGCTCACCGACCTTGGTGAGCGGCCGAGCTCTGCACCGACCTTATTTACTGACAACAGAGCGTCGATTCTCCTCTGTCGAGAGCCGCGACTGGAGAGCAGAGTGAAGCACATTAACACTAGGTACTTTCTTCTGCGAGAGTTGCAGAGACGTGGACAGGCTCGCTTCAAGTTTGTGGAGTTCGAGGCCAACACTGCAGACATCTTCACCAAGGTGCTTCCGCCTTGTGACCACCAGAGGTGCTGTGTGCAGTTAGGCCTTGTTGACACAGGTTCTCGTCTTGTGTAGACTTGAGTTCTCTGCTTGCTTTGTTTGTACGCTTTACATATACCTCTGTGAACTCTTGGACTAGTCTTGTGGCCCCTTTTGCTTGTGCTCAGACTGTGTGGTGACGTTGTGATCCACTGTGAGATTTGTTTCTTGTGACTGGTCTTGTGACCGTACTGTGTTGATTTTGCTATGACACCCCTCACCTAGGCTATGGGGGTGTGTCAAATGTTGTAGCCTATAGTGAGGCATGTCATATGGGGTACAGTTCTTAGGGATAGGCTTATGTACCCCAACCAACATCCTCAATGCAACACTTTCATTTCTGACACTAAATCCTAGCAAGAGCCCTGCGTCCCTTCCATCCATGCAGCACGCTGCCGCTGCACCAACGGCCGCTGTTGGCAGCAAGAAGGGCCGGCCTGACGTCGAGTCTTGGTCTCCACCGGCCTACGCGCAAGGCGAAGAAGTCGTACACGCTTGGTGCAGACAATTGCTATTTCACTAGCACGGTGGGGAAGCATTGTAAGAAGAGGGTCTGAAAGTTGAACTCAATTGAGTGTGATTCTTGATTGTGTTCTTGTTTGAGGAAGTTGGTTTTGTAGAATTTAGCTTGCCTGCTTTGTAATTTGCTATTGATTTCTTGTGCACAATCAGAGGGTTTGTGGATACCGGTACCCAGTTGCAAATGCCACATTCATAAACCATACCTTCCTGCATGCCACAGCATTACAAAATTCTTGACCTAGCGCACATACAGCCCTGCCCTGCAACAGGTTGTACCATAGATGAGATTGTTTACCAACTCACACGCATGGCCCTGCCCAGGACATTGTAGCTCCTCCTATGTTTGCCCAAGCCATTGTATGCAATGCATTCGACCTTACGGGCATACCTATGTGGTTGATTGATAGCGATATCCTCATCATACACAACAGTCCACGGGGGATAGGATAACCCATACTAGAAAAATAACCATTTTCATTGTACAGTCGATGTGGTACGGTATGAAGCAATCCAGACGCTAGACGATAATCTCCTCGTCATACACGGGGCTGCCACACCCCGGGGACAGCACATCCAGAATGCGCCACGAGTCGGTCCTCTTGTCAAACTCCTGCCGGTATCGGGGGCGGGGGTCAGTGTAAGGAGGAAGGGGAAATGGCAGGGCGCAGAGGGAGAGAGAGGGGAAGGGGAAGGGGGAGGGAAGGGGGGAAGAGAGGAATGGCATGGCACTGAGAAGGAGGGGAGAAAGGGGAGAGGGGGGGGAGGAGGAGAGAAATGGCAGGGCGCAGAGCAGAGGCAGGGCAGGGGGGATGGAAGGGTGCAAAGGAGAGGGGGGCAGGGGGGTGGCAGGGCGCAGAAAAAAGAGGGGGGGGGGGGGGGGTGTCGGTGGGGTGGGGGGAGCTTGGGAGGGAGCAGGGATTGAAGGGCACAGGCAGAGTAGAAGGGGCAGGGGGAATCGACGGGAGGAGAGAGAATGCTGTATGGGAAGCGCACGGGCCGATGAACAGCAAGGGAGAGCATGGGGTGCATGGGGTGCATGGGATGCATGGGGTGCATGGGATATATGGGAATGCGAGAGCAAAGCGCAGAGCACAAAAAATGGCTCGAGACAGAGAAGGAAATCAGAAGAGACAGGGGAAAGCTACAAGTGGGTACAAGTGCCGTGCATGTGCGTGCACACGCCGTGCATGTGCGTGCACACGCCGTGCATGTGCGTGCACAAGCCGTGCATGTGCGTGCACACGCCGTGCATGTGCGTGCACACGCCTGCATGTGCGTGCACACGCCGTGCATGTGCGTGCACACGCCGTGCATGTGCGTGCACACGCCGTGCATGTGCGTGCACACGCCGTGCATGTGCGTGCACAAGCCGTGCATGTGCGTGCACACGCCGTGCATGTGCGTGCACACGCCGTGCATGTGCGTGCACACATCGTGCATGTGCGTGCACACGCCGTGCATGTGCGTGCACACATCGTGCATGTGCATGCATGAGAAACACACAAAGATAGGACGAAGGCTCTAATGGGATGCAAGGGGGAGGATGAACGCAAATAATGGTGATGGATGGAGGCGAGAGCTCACTGTGCGCAACACTCTGAGGTCTGCCAGATAGGCAAAGGCGGCACTCTCCAGGGCGTCTGTCTGCCACACGTCCTCGCCCGCCTCCTGGAACAGCGGCTCTATCTCCACCAGCCCCAGATTCTGGCAGCATGGGCGAGCAGGGAGACACGAGGTATGAAAGGCCTGATTGCAGGAGATGCAGGGAGAAAGAGAGAAGCTGAGGGAGAGCAACAGCGGTTTATCTCCACCAGCCCCAGATTCTGGCAGCATGGGCGAGCAGGGAGACACGAGGTATGAAAGGCCTGATTGCAGGAGATGCAGGGAGAAAGAGAGAAGCTGAGGGAGAGCAACAGCGGTTTATCTCCACCAGCCCCAGATTCTGGCAGCATGGGCGAGCAGGGAGACACGAGGTATGAAAGGCCTGATTGCAGGAGATGCAGGGAGAAAGAGAGAAGCTGAGGGAGAGCAACAGCGGTTTATCTCCACCAGCCCCAGATTCTGGCAGCATGGGCGAGCAGGGAGACACGAGGTATGAAAGGCCTGATTGCAGGAGATGCAGGGAGAAAGAGAGAAGCTGAGGGAGAGCAACAGCGGTTTATCTCCACCAGCCCCAGATTCTGGCAGCATGGGCGAGCAGGGAGACACGAGGTATGAAAGGCCTGATTGCAGGAGATGCAGGGAGAAAGAGAGAAGCTGAGGGAGAGCAACAGCGGTTTATCTCCACCAGCCCCAGATTCTGGCAGCATGGGCGAGCAGGGAGACACGAGGTATGAAAGGCCTGATTGCAGGAGATGCAGGGAGAAAGAGAGAAGCTGAGGGAGAGCAACAGCGGTTTATCTCCACCAGCCCCAGATTCTGGCAGCATGGGCGAGCAGGGAGACACGAGGTATGAAAGGCCTGATTGCAGGAGATGCAGGGAGAAAGAGAGAAGCTGAGGGAGAGCAACAGCGGTTTATCTCCACCAGCCCCAGATTCTGGCAGCATGGGCGAGCAGGGAGACACGAGGTATGAAAGGCCTGATTGCAGGAGATGCAGGGAGAAAGAGAGAAGCTGAGGGAGAGCAACAGCGGTTTATCTCCACCAGCCCCAGATTCTGGCAGCATGGGCGAGCAGGGAGACACGAGGTATGAAAGGCCTGATTGCAGGAGATGCAGGGAGAAAGAGAGAAGCTGAGGGAGAGCAACAGCGGTTTATCTCCACCAGCCCCAGATTCTGGCAGCATGGGCGAGCAGGGAGACACGAGGTATGAAAGGCCTGATTGCAGGAGATGCAGGGAGAAAGAGAGAAGCTGAGGGAGAGCAACAGCGGTTTATCTCCACCAGCCCCAGATTCTGGCAGCATGGGCGAGCAGGGAGACACGAGGTATGAAAGGCCTGATTGCAGGAGATGCAGGGAGAAAGAGAGAAGCTGAGGGAGAGCAACAGCGGTTTATCTCCACCAGCCCCAGATTCTGGCAGCATGGGCGAGCAGGGAGACACGAGGTATGAAAGGCCTGATTGCAGGAGATGCAGGGAGAAAGAGAGAAGCTGAGGGAGAGCAACAGCGGTTTATCTCCACCAGCCCCAGATTCTGGCAGCATGGGCGAGCAGGGAGACACGAGGTATGAAAGGCCTGATTGCAGGAGATGCAGGGAGAAAGAGAGAAGCTGAGGGAGAGCAACAGCGGTTTATCTCCACCAGCCCCAGATTCTGGCAGCATGGGCGAGCAGGGAGACACGAGGTATGAAAGGCCTGATTGCAGGAGATGCAGGGAGAAAGAGAGAAGCTGAGGGAGAGCAACAGCGGTTTATCTCCACCAGCCCCAGATTCTGGCAGCATGGGCGAGCAGGGAGACACGAGGTATGAAAGGCCTGATTGCAGGAGATGCAGGGAGAAAGAGAGAAGCTGAGGGAGAGCAACAGCGGTTTATCTCCACCAGCCCCAGATTCTGGCAGCATGGGCGAGCAGGGAGACACGAGGTATGAAAGGCCTGATTGCAGGAGATGCAGGGAGAAAGAGAGAAGCTGAGGGAGAGCAACAGCGGTTTATCTCCACCAGCCCCAGATTCTGGCAGCATGGGCGAGCAGGGAGACACGAGGTATGAAAGGCCTGATTGCAGGAGATGCAGGGAGAAAGAGAGAAGCTGAGGGAGAGCAACAGCGGTTTATCTCCACCAGCCCCAGATTCTGGCAGCATGGGCGAGCAGGGAGACACGAGGTATGAAAGGCCTGATTGCAGGAGATGCAGGGAGAAAGAGAGAAGCTGAGGGAGAGCAACAGCGGTTTATCTCCACCAGCCCCAGATTCTGGCAGCATGGGCGAGCAGGGAGACACGAGGTATGAAAGGCCTGATTGCAGGAGATGCAGGGAGAAAGAGAGAAGCTGAGGGAGAGCAACAGCGGTTTATCTCCACCAGCCCCAGATTCTGGCAGCATGGGCGAGCAGGGAGACACGAGGTATGAAAGGCCTGATTGCAGGAGATGCAGGGAGAAAGAGAGAAGCTGAGGGAGAGCAACAGCGGTTTATCTCCACCAGCCCCAGATTCTGGCAGCATGGGCGAGCAGGGAGACACGAGGTATGAAAGGCCTGATTGCAGGAGATGCAGGGAGAAAGAGAGAAGCTGAGGGAGAGCAACAGCGGTTTATCTCCACCAGCCCCAGATTCTGGCAGCATGGGCGAGCAGGGAGACACGAGGTATGAAAGGCCTGATTGCAGGAGATGCAGGGAGAAAGAGAGAAGCTGAGGGAGAGCAACAGCGGTTTATCTCCACCAGCCCCAGATTCTGGCAGCATGGGCGAGCAGGGAGACACGAGGTATGAAAGGCCTGATTGCAGGAGATGCAGGGAGAAAGAGAGAAGCTGAGGGAGAGCAACAGCGGTTTATCTCCACCAGCCCCAGATTCTGGCAGCATGGGCGAGCAGGGAGACACGAGGTATGAAAGGCCTGATTGCAGGAGATGCAGGGAGAAAGAGAGAAGCTGAGGGAGAGCAACAGCGGTTTATCTCCACCAGCCCCAGATTCTGGCAGCATGGGCGAGCAGGGAGACACGAGGTATGAAAGGCCTGATTGCAGGAGATGCAGGGAGAAAGAGAGAAGCTGAGGGAGAGCAACAGCGGTTTATCTCCACCAGCCCCAGATTCTGGCAGCATGGGCGAGCAGGGAGACACGAGGTATGAAAGGCCTGATTGCAGGAGATGCAGGGAGAAAGAGAGAAGCTGAGGGAGAGCAACAGCGGTTTATCTCCACCAGCCCCAGATTCTGGCAGCATGGGCGAGCAGGGAGACACGAGGTATGAAAGGCCTGATTGCAGGAGATGCAGGGAGAAAGAGAGAAGCTGAGGGAGAGCAACAGCGGTTTATCTCCACCAGCCCCAGATTCTGGCAGCATGGGCGAGCAGGGAGACACGAGGTATGAAAGGCCTGATTGCAGGAGATGCAGGGAGAAAGAGAGAAGCTGAGGGAGAGCAACAGCGGTTTATCTCCACCAGCCCCAGATTCTGGCAGCATGGGCGAGCAGGGAGACACGAGGTATGAAAGGCCTGATTGCAGGAGATGCAGGGAGAAAGAGAGAAGCTGAGGGAGAGCAACAGCGGTTTATCTCCACCAGCCCCAGATTCTGGCAGCATGGGCGAGCAGGGAGACACGAGGTATGAAAGGCCTGATTGCAGGAGATGCAGGGAGAAAGAGAGAAGCTGAGGGAGAGCAACAGCGGTTTATCTCCACCAGCCCCAGATTCTGGCAGCATGGGCGAGCAGGGAGACACGAGGTATGAAAGGCCTGATTGCAGGAGATGCAGGGAGAAAGAGAGAAGCTGAGGGAGAGCAACAGCGGTTTATCTCCACCAGCCCCAGATTCTGGCAGCATGGGCGAGCAGGGAGACACGAGGTATGAAAGGCCTGATTGCAGGAGATGCAGGGAGAAAGAGAGAAGCTGAGGGAGAGCAACAGCGGTTTATCTCCACCAGCCCCAGATTCTGGCAGCATGGGCGAGCAGGGAGACACGAGGTATGAAAGGCCTGATTGCAGGAGATGCAGGGAGAAAGAGAGAAGCTGAGGGAGAGCAACAGCGGTTTATCTCCACCAGCCCCAGATTCTGGCAGCATGGGCGAGCAGGGAGACACGAGGTATGAAAGGCCTGATTGCAGGAGATGCAGGGAGAAAGAGAGAAGCTGAGGGAGAGCAACAGCGGTTTATCTCCACCAGCCCCAGATTCTGGCAGCATGGGCGAGCAGGGAGACACGAGGTATGAAAGGCCTGATTGCAGGAGATGCAGGGAGAAAGAGAGAAGCTGAGGGAGAGCAACAGCGGTTTATCTCCACCAGCCCCAGATTCTGGCAGCATGGGCGAGCAGGGAGACACGAGGTATGAAAGGCCTGATTGCAGGAGATGCAGGGAGAAAGAGAGAAGCTGAGGGAGAGCAACAGCGGTTTATCTCCACCAGCCCCAGATTCTGGCAGCATGGGCGAGCAGGGAGACACGAGGTATGAAAGGCCTGATTGCAGGAGATGCAGGGAGAAAGAGAGAAGCTGAGGGAGAGCAACAGCGGTTTATCTCCACCAGCCCCAGATTCTGGCAGCATGGGCGAGCAGGGAGACACGAGGTATGAAAGGCCTGATTGCAGGAGATGCAGGGAGAAAGAGAGAAGCTGAGGGAGAGCAACAGCGGTTTATCTCCACCAGCCCCAGATTCTGGCAGCATGGGCGAGCAGGGAGACACGAGGTATGAAAGGCCTGATTGCAGGAGATGCAGGGAGAAAGAGAGAAGCTGAGGGAGAGCAACAGCGGTTTATCTCCACCAGCCCCAGATTCTGGCAGCATGGGCGAGCAGGGAGACACGAGGTATGAAAGGCCTGATTGCAGGAGATGCAGGGAGAAAGAGAGAAGCTGAGGGAGAGCAACAGCGGTTTATCTCCACCAGCCCCAGATTCTGGCAGCATGGGCGAGCAGGGAGACACGAGGTATGAAAGGCCTGATTGCAGGAGATGCAGGGAGAAAGAGAGAAGCTGAGGGAGAGCAACAGCGGTTTATCTCCACCAGCCCCAGATTCTGGCAGCATGGGCGAGCAGGGAGACACGAGGTATGAAAGGCCTGATTGCAGGAGATGCAGGGAGAAAGAGAGAAGCTGAGGGAGAGCAACAGCGGTTTATCTCCACCAGCCCCAGATTCT